CTTCTGGTACTGGTGCTCCTTGGTCCTTCCATGGCTGTGGACCTTTGGATGTTCCTTGCGGGAGGTAGACTTGGCACCAGTGGCACCAATGGTAAACGACAAAATAGTGGTGCTGCGGGATCTTCTGGAGCTGCGTCGATGGCGTTGACGTTGACAGCGGACCAGGAGACGGAGACGACAGGCTACTGCGACGACGACGGTGACGAAAATGAATGATGCAGTCGTCGCGTGATGGCAAGAGCAGCCAGACTCCGTGGCTAAGTATAGCCGCGTGGTGGCCTCTCGCTCCCTGCGGCGTATTGTGCCGTCCCGGCGGGACCGAGGTGCCGCGCCACGCCAGCCGACCTACGAAGTAGTTCGGAAGGCACGACACCGCTCCTTAGTTGCGGGACGCGCGTTAGGACACTTTTGCCAGTTCTGCCTGCAACAAGATACTTTTTCCTGCGACAAGGACAGTTTTTTGTCCGCTTGTCTGCTCTTATCCCACTTCTTAAATATGCTTAAGTGTTAATTTCAATAACTTGAACAAGAAAGCTGGATTTGCAGTGAATTTATCGTAACCCGAACACTACCCGATATTATTTGTTTGTCGGAAATGTTTTGCGTGAAATCTTTGGGGATCGCTTTTGAATGTTCACGGGGAACATATGTAAGTGCAGTTCAATGCACTCCTGACAGTACACTATCTGCCGTAGTGTTTCGCAACTATTATGGCTGGAAGAATAGCTCTCGCATCAAGGAATATTGGACTGCTTCTCCTTTGTGATTGAAGAAAAACCTAAATCAAAATCGTGCGACAAGGAACATACGTGAAGCGATGCGGTCCTCCATTGTCTCTTACATCACGATAAGGAATTGGTGCCACAAGTTCAAAAATGGTCGACTGCTTCCATCAAACAACTCCCCTGTCACCGTCGAAGCATTTCGTGCCGAGCTGGATCGCATTGGCTGCTTTCGGCCGCCGGCCGGCCGGCGCACTGACGTAAAACGAATTAGTTTGTATGTAAGAAATCTACGTCTGCTGCATTTTATTTTACGGTCAAAACTGGTCAGAACCATGAAGTAAAATGCAACAGACGTAGATTTCTTGCATACGAACTAATTCGTTTTATTCAGTGCGCCGGCGAGGCGGCGGATTACGAAAGCAGCTATTACTGCATTTCTACGAGAGAAACTGCGAAAAGTCTGGTTTCTCCTCGACAATGCTCGCCCATACATAGCGAATAAGGCCCACAAGAAACTTCAGAACCTGGAATGGCATATCCTAACCTCCCACCGGTTTTACCAGAGCTGGGCCCTACATATTACCGAGGCTATTGTACTATTCAAGAAATGAAAAGTCCGATGATGTGTGAACTAGCATTGGCGAGTTCTTATCTCGAAATTTCTAAATTCTATACAAGCGGGAACAACGAGTTGCATGATAAGTGTTAATATGTTCCCGATCATAATGGTGTATATATTTGCTAGTTGTTTGTTGTTGTGGGGAAAAAATGCAAAATGCGCAAAGACTTCCGACAACCTAACGGTATTCTGCTGAGTTGCTCATGAGCAAAACCGGAAGCCAATTTTGTCTTATGAGAAAGGATCCCAAGTTAATGTCCCATCAAAAGTCTCGTGCCGTAGACGTTCTCAGGTGCTGATAATGAATTTGCTTTCCAAGTTTGCAAAGTGATCAACCGACTAAGGACATGTTGGTGCTTTTATCGCACTCTTAACAAAGCATGAAGTGGATGAACGGATGTACATATTTGAGCACAAGCCTCAAAGTTGGACTGATGACCCTTGTGCTTATTGGCGCATTTGCAGGGATTTTGTAGCACTTTTAGAGCCATTGTGGGTTTTCTTTTCAACTTTTTGCGACTCGTCATTAAAATGGGTTTAGCATACTTATCTCATCACTGCACAGCTGCAGCCTAGTTTTTAACATATTTGCGATCGTTGACTTTGTCCTCTACAACTATGTTAAAAAGTGCCAACGTCGAAAAACAACTTATTGAAGTTTGTTCAAAGCAGGCTGTAGTTAGCAGTTATAGATTGGTCCTTCTCAAAAGTAAAGTCTCGAGGGAATTAAGGGGAAACGAAGTCAAGGTGAATTCTGCTAAGCCACCTCTTGACAACAACTTCATTTGAGGTTGCGGTTAACTCTGTAGATGTGCTCTCATCCCCTCTTTATTCTGGTAATTGAGAACTCGATCAAACCTTGCTCAGTGAAGACTGCGAATTTGGAAAGTGCACCCGAAACCACCATCTGAAAATAACGTCTGCGGTGTGAGCAAATCACAAATGGTTAAGTTGACTTGAGATTCCGCCCTTGATAATCCAAAGCGGCTTTGTTTGTGAGGAGAAGTTGAAGCTATAATCTTTTCGCATGTCGAATTTAGATGAATGAACAAATGCGAACATTTCTCCCTGCATGTTTCACCTCTATTGGCCGAACATTAGAATACTATTTGCCTAAAAAAGTTTGCTTGTCTGTGCGTGTATGTGAGTATGAGGTAATGACAACACCGTGCGTCTTCGAAGCATGTGGTTGTGTGTTGAGGTTCGGAATCTTGGCGATATTTCGAATGCTCGTTGCTTGGATTGTGCTATTGGTCGGCATGAGAAGAAGAAACCAGTGAAATTGTACGGGTGTCACGGCGCTGGCGGCAACCAGGTAGGCGCAGCGGGTGCTGCATTTACACTATCCACTGGGGTTTCAGCTACGAAATCAAGGTGCACCATATTGTGTGGATAGTGCGATCGGTGAAGACAACGATGCAAAGCCGGTCTCACCATATCCATGTCATGAACAGGGTGGAAATCAGGTTTGCAGGAACAAATTATAGTTAAGCGACGGCCACGCACATGTAAAACTTATGAATCTGTGACATGCCATGAATTACGTAGTCGGTGAAATGCCATACGTGCATCAAGGGAGTACAAGAAAATGTGTGATATATCGAATTCCATAAAGGTTAACTTGAACAGAAAAAGAAACGCTCTTCTAAAACATTTAATCCGAAGTCTCTACCATTTTCACTGCGAAGTTAACTCCCCAGGCGTTGATCTCTAATATTACAAAGTCTAGGTGACAAAATGACGAACAACAGATATTTCTATAAAATAGCGCCAATATGCCCATATTGAGGGTTCTCTTAGTCATTCAATCTTATAGTAGATTGAATTACCTGGAGGATGGAAATAAGATATGCTCCAATTAAACAGGCACCATTGAACGAACGGAAAATCGAATGCTATTTTAGAGGTGAACAATTTTTTTCACACAACAACATTAAACAACAAGAACAAACGATAAAAACAGTCTAACAGCTTCTTAGGTTAGACGAAGATCAGTCATTGGGTCATGTGTCCAATATACGCGGTATCCGCCAAAATGTTGTACCGAAGTTCCGAAGTGATGCATCTCGAATACGTGACTACTTTAGTCGACAAGAATAACTTCAGCTGCACGTGATTGCAATGATGAGAGGGAAGATGTGTTGTGTTCTTAGTTTTTGACTGAGAAAAAGTATAGAGTAGTATTATTCCCGCTCATGCGGGACGTTCGTGAAGATGGACCGTGTTGGCGGAAGTGGCAAAAGAAAACAATTCTGAAAGGGGACTGATAAGGCATCAAGTAACACGATCATGCTGACCTTGTTGGAAAATCTGCCGTTCTGATAACTTTCTGTGCAAATGGAAAGGAAGTGTGGTCGACTGGAAGGGTAACTGTTCCGACTAGTGATTACGCACACGTTCTCCAGCCAAAGCTGCATTTACCTCAACGAAGTCTCCAACAAACGGACTCCAAACTGAAGGACAGCTGTGCGCTCGTTGGTTTCGTTTTGCCCGCAGGGCATGTACGGCATGTGGATTTGGAAATATGGGACACATCTTACTGTATGACACCGTCTCTATCTGAACAGATTATAATTAGTGCAGATTGCATATTTCATGCAGAACAGGTAATGAAATGCTGCTGTGCCGAAGCTGACACCTCATGACGTATTTTCATCAATGGAGGCAGACGATGAGTAACTCAATGTGACATCGCTGACAACGCTTACATAGAGAGGGTTCGACCACCTCATTGTTATCAAATTCGACGAAAAAGCAAGGAATGCTCTGGCCTGTGGAATCGCTCAGAGTTCCCACATATGTACGTTTGTTTGCAACATTACAGGGAAAACAATCAGTTGAGCTGTTCCATTTGAGGTTCTGTTCGAACGCTCAACACTCTTGAGACTGAGTCAATCTTGAATTCATGCATATCGTCAGGGAATTGTTGATTCTTCTCATAGCTGTTCGCTACGCTTACTGAAATGCCTGTAGCGCCAGTATCTATCGAACCTGCGACGACTGTTCCGGATGAGCAGAAGTGGCTATATAGAGTCGATGAAATTCTCAAGCCTTGAGAAACATAAGTTTTTCTGGAGACCTGCCAGGGTTTACCGATGAGCACCCATCCGAGTAAGTTGGTGGAGCCGAGGACCCGCCAGCCAGCGATCGAGTCGAGCGATCCCGACCGAGTCGAGTGGTCCCGAGGAATGCAGCGGGCGTTCCTAAGGGTAAACCTTGTGTTATCCCATTTTGCATTGGGTAGACGTTCAGAATGCATTGACTTCTGTCATCATTTGCAAACATCTTCGGCCATTCTAGTTTTTCTCTTTGCGGAACAGCGTCGCGTAAAATGAATTTGAAGGCTTTGCCAAAACTTTACGAAAACGATCCTTGCAAAGAACGGATTGTATTATGCAGAGTCGTTGCGAACGACAGGAATATTCTGAGAATTCTTGAATGTTGAATGGCCAGCAGTGAATGGTGAAGGCAAGGTGATGGCCATCCATTCGAATGAGAAAATCGGAAAGGCAATGTTAGCATTTAAGGATACAAATTGTGGCAACTGCTTCGTACTTTACCACTCTTTCTGCTTATTGCTGCTGAAATACGATGGGAAGTACTGAAACCCGTATAATCAGAGCAGTTATCAACGTCGAACAGAGCTGCGTTCCGAGACTACTTGGTATTCTAAAAAAAACGCGACATTTCGAAGTCCATCACCGAGCCAAAATGACGTTCATGTAGTAGGTGCCGAAATATCGCGATTCACAGAAGATAGACATGTCCGTGCCTCATCTATTACAACCACATTTTTGAATATTTTTATAAAGTTCGGTCTAGTTTCCCAATTACTATATAGGACTTTCTATAAGGAATCGGCAATTGTTGCCCCAATCATGCTTTCACTTTACATCATTCATCTGCTTCGATACTAACATTTCACCTGCACAGTGTTCAGTATATTAGGTCGCTCGAATAGTGCTTCCCAAAAATTCCCCTTGGTACAGATTTTCCTGGAAGCTTTTGGAAGTTTTCACAAAATTACCACGTAAGGCTGTGTGCGCATAACATACCGGCTCCCTCCTCGTTGCTTTTTCAACCTCACAATGGCCGAACTACCTTCCCATATGTGACACGCACTTGTTAAATAGTTCGGATCTGGCCATTCTTCTGCAGAAAAACATTGAAATTCGTGTCAAGTATTTGGCCTTGAACCCCCTTGTACTGTTCTGTGCACACCTTCAAGCGCTTAACAGCCTGGAAAGTCGGTGATGAACCTTGCACTGATCAGCTGCCTGGGATATCATAAAATCTCCGGATATGTTATGCGCATACTAATTAGGAGTGCAGTTTTATAAAATTTGTGTGAAAACATCCAAAATATTCCACAGAAAACTGAACATGTGAAATTTCTAGTAGATACTCCACAAACGCTCTGCTATACATTATCTTTAGAGTGCACCACCTAACGCTCACGCATACGTGTTGTCAGGTGATATGTGTGGGATCACTTACTGCTGTGCACTTTAGCAGTTATCTCCATCCAAAGTTGATGGTGGTTGATTATGTCTCTGATGTCCCAAGTGGCCATAACTGTTCATGTCCCAAGCCGATTCTGGCAAAATAAAAAGCTAGATGTAAAAAGTGCAAAGTTGTCTGTAAGCCAGAGTTAACGCTGATCGCCTCTAACAATGTGTCGTTGTAAAATTTGTTTTGTATCGCTTTTGCGGTGTGATGTCCGACTCTTCTGGCTTTCGTACTCTCGCTCTTCATTCTCATCATAATGGAGTGTACTCCTTTTTTTTTTTTTCTTCAAGGATTTCGGGCTGAAATCTTCGCTTGTCACTTGCCTGTCACTTTTGTGTCTGTGAATTCTTCTAACTTTTTTTAAAAATTAATCCTTCATATGTATGACTCTGTAGTTACGAAACGCTGGCGGTGGTAATCGACAATGTATCGACTATGCATCTCACGGTGCCAAAAAATTCGGTCTTTACCAGTGCCATAATCAAGGAGGAAATCAGGTTTGATTTGTTGTTTCCAAGTGCTCATGGAGATTTGGGGGCTCATGGATACTACAAATGAGCCTTTCAATTAATATTTTTGTTGCTAATTATTTGACGTTGTTTGATGAGTAAATCTCAGTGCATGCACGTCTAGAACCCTATCTTTGGAGGTAGGTTCAGAACTTTTAGAACACAGAGGGGATAAGATTTTTAGAAATGTTTTCCTTCTTCATGTATTTGACCTGTCTGCGTTTCCATTCGAGGAATGTTGTTCAAAAGATCCAAGTATCCGTAAGCTCCCACTTCCTCTTGGGTCCTCCTTTTCCCAGACATCCTCTGGTATCGGAACATCAAGGGAACATAAATGATTCAGTTTTAGGGCCTCAAACTTAGTTTGCACACTTCAGCTCCCATGTAGTCTACCAGAAGGCTTCGGTCCAGTACATTGCTGAACAACTTGTCAATTACTGTTAATTTTTGTGGCGAGATGTGACCGCCACAAAAGAGGAACTACGTCCTTTTCAATGACGGTCCCTTCTTCGGTAGAGCGAACTTGACCGAATGGATCTAATACCTGTCACTTGGGGCATATGAATTTTGCAGTGAATTGCTCAGTAATTTACAGAGTACTGAAATGAAATCCTTATAGAATAACTGAAATGTTATGCATTTTTGCCTGCAACTCTGATTTTCAGATGCAACCCATGTGAAAAATTCCCCTGTAATCTCTTTGTTCGTCATTTTTTCATCTATGACATTTGCTATATGACTGCAAAAAGTGTGACTGCAAAAAGTACTTTAGGAATAATTCCAGGCGTTGGGTTATTCATGCTAATGCTAAAAATGTTAACAAGTACAATAGGCTGTTCGGTTCGAATTAAATCTATCACCAGCCGATCTTGTTGTGAAATCCCTCAGGTGACTAGGAAGAGCGTAACTCGCCCAAAAACTTGCCAACTTCTCATACCAAGCTCTTGGGGAGTGGACATCGAAGAGTTGAAACAACTAAAATTCCCCCGACATACATAGATGACTTCTTATGTAGTCTCACTTCAATACTTTGAGTGCTGTACACCTAATGAGGAAATCAAGTCTGTCGAGACGAATCAAGGAGGATGAAGGAAATCCGTAAAAGTTGAATACCGCACCATACGACGGTGAGGATTGGCCGACGTCATGACCGTCTTCATTATGATGGACAGTTTTCGTGTAACAAGGACGATTTCCCTTCACCGTCTTCTCAATTGCAAAGGCAAAGTTATGGATTGAGGGTTGAAGCAAAGGCTGGGAGAGAGACCCCATATGAAAGAAGAACTGCGAGAAATCGATTGGTTCTTCATTTCGTTGATGATTTCTTGGCCCTTCTTTCTTTCTTTCTTTCGAATAAATTGAAATCTCCACATTCGCTCAACTCCGACTGCATGTCGCCGAAGTTTGTGCAACTTTTGTGGATCAGTCTGTAAGAATATCCCGTTATCAGTGTCGCAGATCGGTTCAGCGTTCATGAATCGATGAAAATATTAGCGTTGGAATCCATCCAGGAGAATACTGATGGGTGAATAACAACGTACTGAAAAAGCGTCGAAATGGATCCCTGTCAAACATCCTTAAGACCATCAGTACGTTCGAATGCTGCGAGCATACCCACAGCGACCACTCAACTACGTCAATCACCTGGGCTGAAAACGATGGATGTCATACCGTGAAGGCTGTGAAAGGCTCCTAAGATCTCATTTTCGCGCGAGTTGATCCCAGCAGAGATGCTTGTCGGCGTGGGCGTAGCTGATGACAGTAGTGAAGCTCGACAATCATAGCATATATGCTGTGTTTTTAACGAGGCGAGAAAATTCTGGATTCTGCAACCTGAGATCTGGAGCTATGTTGTGGGTTCCTATCCAGAGGACCATAATTTCGCCGAATTTTCTGGCATGCCATGATGTGGCCCTGCACACACACACAGTTCAGAGCGTCTTCAAATGTGCTACTGATGGCTATTATTGTTGGGCACAGCTAGTCCCGAATCGCTTTCAGATGGTCATTGGCCCGTACGAGGCCACGTATTGATCCAATTGATCCTCTTTGAAGTTTGAAACTGTCTACTCGTCTTCAGAACAGTCTGATTTCTCGATACGTTATCCTAGGAAATAAGTATAGCACTGCATAGAAAAAATTATCGTGGTGCCGAGACAAGTGCAAAGCGGTCCTTCGTGACTGAAAAAAAATCAGGTCTCACTGTACAGGACTGACAGCAGAGTAGTGGCACTGTAGAAACCCAATGAAATTGTAAAAAATTGTAAATGGTGTCAAATAATAAACCCAGTGGAGGTGGTCATTAGGCTCCCCTCAACTTCTTTAATATGTTGTGTCTGATTTAGTACTGGATGATGTCGAAAGACGGAGAAATTCGCCGCGATGAGACTTGTATTGACTATGCTGGTGAGAATGTAATGGTATTCCCATGTCACGGAATGAAAGGAAATCAGGAATGGCGATATAACCACGAGGTGGGTTTTCTTCGTATGCAGTTTTACGACCTATTGGTTCTGCCATCATCTGACATATTACCAACTTCTTAATCGTCGTAACTGACTTTTTTTTTACAGAATATACTAGTAATCAATTAATTGTAAGTATTTCACAACTTGAGAATTCCCTAGGCAGGCAATTGTAAGTCAGCGCAGGCTATATCCGTCGGTACGAGAAACCGAGCCAGGTTTGTGTCATGACCTCGGCTTTTCGGGTGAAGTCCCTTCACCCTTCTACAGGTCTGGGTGAATGTGTTTTAGCACGACTATGCGAGGGCTTCCTACACTGGTGACTTCGTGCTCCCGAGAGAGTAGCTTCTCCCTCTCTGCTTTGACATGTTGGCGGACTGGTCTNCCCCCCCCCCCCCCCCCCTCCCCCAAGAAAAAAAGTTGTTCTGCTCCAATTCTAATTATTTCTAATTATAATATCGCCCAGTGAGATATACATAGCATACTATACATAGTGAACTTGCCATCGTCATGCAATTGTATAACTTTTACCACTTAAGGACCACCGTGCTCAAGAAGCACTGCTCTACCGGGTTCTTTTTTCAGACTGGTCGATTATATCATGCAGTATCGCAGAAATGTATGGAGATGACAAAGGATGGTGCCAAATTGGAAATGAAACCATGCGATGCCAACAACAAATATCAACAATGGCGGTTTAAAGAGTACAATGAGGAAAAAGTCAAACAATACTCCGTTATTGTGCCAGTTTAACATCCACCAAAAGGAAAGCCGGTTTATAGTGGCTTCTAGGGAATGTATACAGTTGTGTACGTTTTTTTTTTTCTCCGATATTTCCTCATTGCTCATAGACCTCCTGTACCTGGAATGATTAGAGCGCTACTTTTTTAAATCTTACCACCCTTGCACATTCCAGAACAATCTTTTTCACTATCACTCTATATTATTTATCTGTAGCGATATTTGCTATCGTCTATCGGTATCGGTTGAAGCTTTATCTCCAATATCCTTGGTTTTCGTCCAATATTGAGACCAAACTCTGCTTGGGTAATCGTAAGCACTTCTTTCGTCATTATCGTCGAGACCAATGACGTGTCCATGTCCTTTACTATATTGACAGAGATAGAAGATTTTGTTGTTTCGTTGGCTCTTTCTTGTGTGTATGTGTGTTTATTTTTGCTTGGAAGACGTGTTTATTTCTTTCACTCATCGTCTCATGCACTTCATATCCGTATTGTACTGGGGCAGTCATCGCACGTTTCACAGGTATCAGGGTAAACTCCATGACAGCGATACACTCTCTATTTTAACTCAACCCCTGAAACACATCGTTGCGCGTACGCAGGAGCTCGCGGTGCGTGCGAGATGACGTCATAGCGGCGATTGCGCGGACTATGGCAAGTGCTGCAGCTGCTGCGCTCTAATCATGAAGATATCTGGCACAGTGCCGACTCCCGTTCTGTTTTCGCACAGCATTTTCCGAAAGACGAGAAGTTCGCAAAATTGACCACTTGGTGATTGGGGGATTCGGGGATTCCTATGATTCGACTTAAGTGTTATGGGCGCTGTGGACGAACGATTGACGCCAGTACAGCGATGCCAACATTCCTATTCTGGGTTTCTGTTGTCTCTCGTACTCGCTTCAAGCAGCGAAATGATGTCTGTGATTTTCTGATATCACTTGGCACTTGTCTTGTCCTTCGTTTTGTTTTCGTTTTCTTTTCTTTTTTGTCGTTTGTTTATTTGTCATGCCGAAACACCCACCTGACCGTGTACACTCATCAATCCTTCACCAAGCCCATTGTGATAATTGCCCACCACCGCCAGAGATCGCATTTCTAGGGGTGTGCAATGTGTATTTTTTTTTTGCTGTATTACCATAAATTCCTCTTCTATTGTGAAAAAATCACATTCAGATTTGTTATGGCGTTAGTTTCCTCTCAAATAAGGCGTGCGCTTGTGCCGCATTTGCCGTTTCATGTGCCTAAGCCGATCGATAGGTATTTATATTGTATACTCGGTGATTAAAAATAAAGATACTTTTTGGATTATACTGATTAGTTTAATGGCATCCGTGTTCGGCTCTATGGTGGTGTATTTTGCTCTGACAATGTTTTTTAGTCGGATGGCTTCGGATTAGAGTTCTTTTTTCCGAATATTCACCGCGGTATTATGTTATAATAGGTGGTAAAGGCTCGGCCAGTACCTCATTACGGAATACCACCAAACGGCGCTTCCAGAGTACGGCGTCGAGCGCCCAGCGGTAGGCCGCGTTAACGTCCGCTCACCGCTCATGGTGTTTACTTTGAAGCATGTTATTTCTCAAGCAGGGCTGAGTGAGGCTTTTTTGTAATGTTATACTTTCATCTCATAATACAGATGTCAAACGTGGAGCTCGATGGTTGACTCGCATAAGTGGACATACATGCACCCAGGCCAATGATCCGCTTGGTCGCTCTCGATCCCAATTCGCTCAGATCAAACAATTCATTTACTGACTTGGATGTTGATTTCTTTCAAGGGGATGATTCTAGTGGTTTTCATGATGTTGGCCCTTGACTGGGTCAAATAGGCACTCACTCGCCCTATCTTAAGTTGTGCGATAAGCATCTGCCAGAAATCTCGTGATAATATAGCTTCCTCACTCGGAATTTGTGCGTAGTGGGGTTTTATGTAAAGACACTACCCACGCGTATACCTGATAATTCTGAGTGTGGTAGGAGTGCGAGGCCTTCAAATGGCTCTTTGTGTTCCACTTATTTGTTTCCCCTGTCAAATAAACAGGATTGATAGAATTTAAAATGCCCATTTATGATACGCCATTTTCGTAAACACTCGACGTATTTTCACTGCTGCTTGCAAATCTCGAAGTTGGTCTTTCTAAGCAAGAATGATAGCAGTTTATCGGTATTGAGAAAAAGAATCCGTACAGGATTGAGTGCTAGATTGTCCAAAGCAAGAATAGGACCGGAATTGATACTTCAGCTCTACGTTTGGCAGTGCCTTTTTATCTTTATGCACTTCTTTATGAGCGCTTTTTCGAGGCAGTTTACTGAAAAGCGTTGACTTTGGATCTTTGAACGAATGATCGCATGGGTTATCGGACTGTGTCCAAAGTTTGATTCAAGAGAGACGTGAAGGAACATGCAGGAGTTGTATACGCTCTCTGTCACTTCAGCTCTTCCTACCTTGAAAGTCCTTGATCACAGCGGTTTTTAGTCAATTGGACTTGTGCGCTTTGCGTCGTCGCCCCTTTTGAATCTTGTAAGGTGTGTTATACGATATGCAGTTCTATTTCTGTCTATTAATCACACAGCACAAAGGACAGGCAGTTGAATCGATTTTGTGTAGTCGATTCACCGCACGCGGCTGTCGCGGACTAGTTGCCTCGTTATTGCAGTTTTAGCTCGATCGATATGCGATTTTTGGCGTGATTCTACTGTGACTGATTCCACACCATAGTATTACAATGCGGAATATCTATAAAGTGTTGTCTGAAAAGCGGTAGGAACCGCCATTTTTCCGATCAAACGTGACTGGCTCATGTTGGTCCGATGTCTGGCTCACTTCCGGGTCAAAACTACCTCATCTTAACGGCATCATGACGGCTTCGTCCTAGGCCAACCACATCTTACAACTATCTGGGGCCGGTTAATTGGTACGATACTGGGCTGGGAGGGTAAAAGCACTGTACATCGGCTGGCCACAGCAATTCATTATGTAGGCCACATACGCGTTCAATACGCCATTACGATTCTGAGTGGAAGTCGAAGGCGATGGCGCATCCCACAGGCGCGATTGATCAACGCCCAGAGACTTGGTCTTTTTAATATGGGGATGAAGGTGCGATGGTTATATCACTTTCGATCAGTATCAGACACCGCAATTCAAAGAAAGTCATGCATTTCGAGAGACAACCTTGGCCTTTTCGCTCCGATTTTCTCACCAATTAAGCAGTTCGATTTGTGAACACTTAGCATTTGATTTTGACTGTCGGCAGTCGTTACACAGACATTACAACGTTGTCCATTCGGGGCTTGGACTGATTTTTGAAGTTGTTGGTCTGTTTATGTCTGGTATACAAATATCACTTACCGGGCGCTTTACGCTTAGTTCCAGATAAGTTCATGGTTTACCCATCCTACTTTATATAATTCACGAAGTGTGTCTGTTGGTGTGTCGGTGTGTGTGTTTGACCGGAAATTCATAACTTCTGTTCCCGTGGACCTAGAGCGTTCAATCTTGGTAGGAATACGGGGGACCAGAAAGGGAATACTCATGGTAGGTGGCAGGACCGNCGATATGCGATTTTTGGCGTGATTCTACTGTGACTGATTCCACACCATAGTATTACAATGCGGAATATCTATAAAGTGTTGTCT